GTAGGGAAAAAATGGGAATGATCCAGCTCTTGGGAGAAACCTGAAACAGTTAATCCAGTGTGTGTGTCACTGGATATGGAAGTGCAGAAAGGAAAGAATTCTGGCTTTGTCTAGATCAAGTGTTCCATGACTAATGCTGCATTGTCCAGGCACTGCAAGTGGTGGGGTTTTGGGTTGGTTTTTTTTTTTTCTTTAGTCCTTTTTTTGGTAACTCAAAACACCCAAACCAAACATATTTGTTCCCAGTAGTTTGTCCTGGAGATGTGTAGTATTTGCTACTTGTTCTGCTGGTGAGGGTCTCTGTCAGGTACCTACATATATTAAACAGGAGGTTTTCTCATCTTGTTAGAAAGCTGGGGAAGAAAAAACATTGAACTATCCAGATCTTGTTTTCAAGTATTAGATGAAAGTTGCTGTTGCAAATCTTTCAAAACCAGTCCCCTTATACAAGCATTTAATTTTAATACCTGCACTATTCTAAAATTCCTGGAGCTTTTTAATAAGCAATCTCAACGAGAAAGCTTCAAATTTCTAAATTGACATCACAAAAGATCCACGTGTTCAATTTAATGAAAAATTCAATGGCTTCTTTTTTTAAAAGCATTTTTATTTATCTTTCCTCTACCTGGAGCTTTTTGGAGGATCATGGAGAACAGTTTCACCCTGTAATATATGCAAAACAAATCTGGAATAGTGCTATTGGTTAACTTGGCTCCCAGACCAATGGGTGGTTGTATTGTTTGTAGCCTGTCGACAGCAGTTGTCTGGCAAACTCTTTTTTCCCCCCCAGGTGAGCGAATCCGGTGTTCACAGGCCCCACGTAGCAGGTATACATGGCAGAAGTAACGATGGTGCCTACTCCTTGGTTCTGGCAGGAGGCTACGAAGATGACATAGTAAGTGAATCTTGATTATTTATGCCTGAGAACCAATCTGCTTTGTAGTGAAAACAAAGACTTGGCCTTAGTTACTTTTTAGACTCTGTATCAGATATTTCCCAATCTGGACGATGGTTATGTTCTTCAGAAGAAAACTAGGCAAAGGAAAATTCGAGTCCAGCAATATGTGTCACCCTGAGAAATGGGATCAGCTAAATTAGGTTTAATATCTGTATGTCAGTTTTTACTCCAAGAGTCCTTATCTGCCTTTTCAGGGTCTCCATCATCTCCACAGTTGGAACAGACTCTCATGGTATGTGCTGCCAGATCTCCTGGTGGCAGGAGGGCGTTCAGAACAGAGCTAGGGACAGAAATGCTACTTCTGAACAGACTGTTTGGTTCTGGTTATGTAGAACATGCCCCTTTAGTTCCAGGCAGATCCTGTGCGAGTGCTGCGCTGCTCTTGGTGCTGTTAAAGTGTGTGACAAGATGGCAATTGTCACCCTGCCACTCCCCTCCTGGCACTGTAAGACAGGGCCATAAACTGAGTCTGGGAGCTTTAAGTGGAGGAAACATCTTCCTTTTTTTGAGAGTACTGTATCAAAGCTACTTGGTTAAAAGACTCTTCTGCTTTTATTGAATTATTTTAGTGAATGTGTTGAAACTATCCATATACATTTCAGGATCATGGAAATTCCTTCACATATACAGGGAGCGGAGGGCGGGATCTTTCTGGAAACAAACGCACAGCGGAACAGTCTTGTGATCAAAAACTCACCAATATGAACAGGTCGGCAATGCTCGTGTTCCACTCCTAACCTTAGCAGCTGGTAACTTGTCAACGTGAGAAATTGTTTCTCCTGTTTGTATCAAAAGAAAATGTCTAAATGGAAAAACTGTGAAAACTAAATTTCAGCTGTGTTGTAGGCTGCGGATCAGTTGCACAATGGAAATGTTTCTTAGAGTACACCAGAAACAAAATGGAATTGTAAAGGGTATTAGTCTCTCATTTAATATTGACTGAAACTTGAGGAACGGAGTAGTAAATTACACAGAAGTTCATAAGTTCTCTCCTGAAGACCTTTGCAGCCACTGATGTGAGTCAGAATTTGTTACTCTTACAAATAAGCGAGGACTTAAGTGGAAGAGGTGGTCCATGCAATTACATTAGGGTAATGTCATGAATAATCAGCATATTTAAAATGTGGTCCCCACTCAGGAGGCTTAATTACTACCTCCCAGAGTTCTTGGTGTTATACAAGATACATGAGAGTCTTTCTTACTATTTAAGACAAAAACTGGGCTGCATCCTTCTTCAGAAGAGGCTCCTTCTGTATCTGAGCAGAGTTTTTTGGTAGCCACCGCTGTGGCTCAGCACAGTGCCAGTACGCTGAGCGCTGCTGTACTCAACTCTGTCAACGTGTTGCTCTGAGTAAAATAATACAGTTAAATTAATTACTTCTAACTAGCTGGTTTGCCATCCAAGCTTAGCTTTATCCTCCCTCTGATTTGGAAGAGTTCTGCCTGGTAAAAGTTGACCGGCCTTTCTTTTCCAGAGCTCTGGCTCTGAACTGCAGTGCCCCCATCAACGACAAAAATGGAGCTGAAGCCAAGGACTGGAGAGCTGGGAAGCCGGTCCGAGTGGTGAGGAACGTGAAAGGAGGCAAACATAGTAAATACGCTCCTGTGGAAGGGAACAGATATGATGGAATATATAAGGTGAGAAGGATTTGAATTCGCCTGCTGCATTGGATTATGGCCACGGGGTTTTTACAGTGTATGATGGACTTGCATCTGACTTTTTTAGGTTGTGAAATACTGGCCCGAGACAGGGAAATCTGGATTTTTAGTGTGGCGTTACTTACTTAGGAGGGATGATGATGAACCTGCTCCTTGGACCAAAGAAGGAAAGGACAGGATGAAAAAACTTGGCCTAACAATGCAGGTACTCTTCTGGAACACCACTGGAGAGCGATGTTGATGGAGAACAGGAATTTTTCTATTATACATTCTTATTGAAGGTGATCCTTGCGTAGGAATCGAGATGTCCCCCCCTCAGACTGAGGGGGACACAAGTGCTTTCAGTCTTGTGGGTTGTTTTTGTTCTTTTTCCATCAAGAGGCTAAATGGACACAACCCACTTTCTTGTACAGAATTTCTATAGTCTGAATAAGTGCTTTGCAAGAGGAGGGCTCTCTTGCTTGAAGGAGAGATCCCCTGGAGCAGCCCTCCAGAGGTCGTTCTTCTGACCTGTGGTGGTCTGTAAGTCTGTGAACTGGTGTGTTTGCATTGGATGGCTTTTGATTATTTTTTGTGTGTTTTCCTGTAGTATCCTGAAGGGTATTTGGAAGCTGTTGCAAACAAAGATAAGGAAAAAGAAAATAACGAAGATGAGTTTGATACCCCGGGGAAAGGAAAGAGGAAAAGGAAATCAGCAGGTTTGTGGAGTAGGCAAGTGGATATAGAAAGCCTTGTAGGTTTTTGTGCATTTTTCCTAGTTACTCTTTTCTTTTTGGTTTTTGTTTATTTGTTTAAAAAAAGTTTTATGTTTTCTTTCAGGTGGGGAGGAAAAACTCATTACCTCTCCTACAGGGACTCCGAAGAAAACTAAAGTTGAGCCATACAAGCTGACATCTCAGCAAAAATCTCTTATAAAAAGTGATGAAGCCAATGAAAAACTGTGGAATGAAGTACTAGAAGCTCTCAAAGATGGACCGGTACGTCGCGCTTTGCTTTCCAGAAATAAAGTGACAATTAATTAGCGTAGTGTCTCTAGACATCGACCTCTTGTCTGCACAAAGAAACAGCCTCAGACCCATAGCTTTTTTTTTTTTTCAGTGTAGACATCCTCAGCATAAATTTAAAAGTATTTGAGGTCATTAAGTAAGATAAGAACTTGTTAATGTGACTTTTTTTTCCCTTCTTGAACTTTGCAAGATAAGAACTTGTTAATGTGACTTTTTTTTTTTCCCTTCTTGAACTTTGTAGAAAAATTTTCAATGTCTAACTTAATCTTTTGCATTTAATGTGGGGTGGGCTTTTTTTGGGGGGGGAGCTGTATCTTTCAGAGGGTGATTGATTCAAATATTCTCTTTCCAGAAATTTCTAAATAAAGTTGAAGAAGCCTTCTTGTGTATTTGCTGTCAGGAGGTTGTGTTTCGGCCAGTCACAACTGTCTGCCAACACAATGTGTGCAAGGTAGGTAGTCAATAAACTCTTCTGTCGAATTCTGTTGAGCCAACGAGCCTTGACCTGACTTGTTTAGTGGTGAGAGAGGTGGGGGTATGTGTAGGTTTGGGGGTTTTTTTAGCCAATAGTTAATCTTTTTGCATGAGGCAGGTTTATATGTTAAAACTTTATCATTTGATTAAGGTTCTTTTGCCTAGAAAAGTCTGTGCTTTAAAGAAAGTTCCGCTGTTGCATTGCTACTCTCAGATTCTTTTAAAAGATGACGAGAGCTTCTCTGCAGGCTCAGTAACGCTGCGGGGTGACACGGGTGGATTTGACAGTGTCACAGAGCGTATGGGGTTTTGTTTTGGTGTTTGAGGAACAATGTGAAATGATTTTGCAGAAGCTCCAATGGTCCTTGACAGCTGTGGGGGAATTCTGATAGAATCCCAGACTGGTTTGGGTTGGGAGGGACCTTAAAGCTCATCCAGTCCCAACCCCCCTGCCAGCAGCAGGGACACCTTCCACTAGACCAGGTTGCTCAAAGCCTCATCCAGCCTGGCCGAGAACACTTCCAGGGAGGAGCAGCCACAGCTTCTCTGGCCAACCTGGGACACTGTCTCACCACCCTCACAGCCAACAATTTCTTCCTCACATCTCAGCTCCATCTCCCCTCTGCCACTTTCAAGCCATCACCCCTTGTTCTGTCACTCCCTGCCCTTGGCCAAAGTCCCTCCCCAGCCTTCCTGGAGCCCCTTCAGGTTCTGGGAGGCCACTAGAAGGTCTCCCTGGAGCCTTGATCTTTAGAAATGCAATTACCATTTTACCAATTACTCTTTTTTTTCCTCCTTCACCAGGATTGTTTGGATCGATCCTTCAAAGCTGATGTGTACAGTTGTCCAGCCTGTCGCTACGATCTTGGCAAAAATTACACCATGCAGGTGAACGAAACACTGCAGACCGTTCTGACCCAGCTCTTCCCCGGATACGGCAACGGACGGTGATTCTGTAAAGCACTTCTCATTTTCTTTTGTTCAGACTTAATGGGTTTGCAATGGGCTTAATTTAAAAAAAAAAAAAAGAAAAAAAAGAAAGAAAAGTAGTCTGTGTTCTCCCAGACCCCTAAAAAGGTTTAAAGTCTTCCTTGTTTTTAAAAAAACTATAAACTTCAAGGAATATCCTTTTGTGTGTTTGTGGGTTTTGTTTTTGTTCTAAATGTTGAACTTTGCTTTATTTTTTATTTTTTTTTTGTCTCCCCTCAAAACTGCCATTCATCAGCACAGAATTATTGTGGTGTGTTTTTTTAATGGACTTACAAAGTGCTTCCGGTGAGGCTGCTAATAATGATGAAAGTTCTCAGATTGCCCCCTCTGCCCCCTTTTTATTTTCTTTTCTTTTTACTTTTTAATTTTTTTTTATTCCAAAAAAATGGCTTGGTTGCTAGAACAATCTTCAACATTTGGGGATTTGGCCATAAAGGTAGACTTGTGCATCACCTTGGCAGCATTTTGATGTTCAATTTGTACAAGATGATTCCTGGCTTATGATTTATTTTTTTTTTTACCACAAGCAGGTATTTGCTAAATATATATATATATTTTTTTTAATAACTGTTTGGTTTTTTTTTTATACATTTGACAAACCTATCAAAAGCCATTTCCTGCTAATTTTGTATATTGAAAAAAAAAAAATAAAATTAAATAAAATAATTAAAGCTGCTTGCAATAGCCAAGTGGCTGGAGCAATATGAAGTACTACCTCAGCTGGACTTCTTTCTTACTAGGGAACTATTTGTTCAGCCAGGTGCTGTCTTCTATCCAGAAATGCCATTGTGGAATATGCTAAAGCCATTCTTAAAAGTGCCTTTTGTCCTTTTTCTGAAAGACTGGGCTCTGAACCACCATATATGTATATTTTTTTTTTATTTTTAATTTTTTTTTTTTCATAAGCACTGAATTGTTTAAACTTGCCAACCGGATTTTATTCTTTGGGTAAAATATAACACTGTAGCTGTATATGATTAGTGTGGATTTGCAAACTTTCAGGTTTCCTAATGCTAGGTGTATTATGGTAACATGACTTTTCTTGGTTTAATTTGTTTCGCTGCATTTCTAGCTGGAAATGGAGAATAACCAATTCTGACTTGTTTTTTTTTTTGTTAAATGAAATCTTGTGTTTCTTGTACATGACACCGAGAAGGCGTATTTTTGTGAATGGGTTGTCTTTTTCTAACATTACCAAAGTTTGCAGTTTAATACCTCAACAGGACAGGGATTTTTTTTTTAATCACACTTTACTACAGACAGACTGGAACAAATATGCCTATTTTTGTTTTCTTAACTCTTACCCTTTTTAAAATTATAATGTTAATATGTTAGGGAAAAAAAACAAACAAACAAACAGCATTTTATAGGTTTTTTGCTGAATTTGTCAATTTTTGTACAATATGCAAGTTGAAGTTCTCAAAATAAATATCTTTTCAGAGGAAAGTGTTGACTGTTTTCCTTTTAATTCTTTTTATCTGAAGCAGGTTTCCAGATCTAATTGCTTGTGCAGGAATTTGTATTTATGTTCTGTTATGCTGAGCCTTTTATTTTCTAAGGCTTATTATTTTCATTGTGATTTTTCACTACAAAGAAATTGGGAAAATACTAATTTGATATTCTTGTCTTCAAAATAATTGCTTCTAGGCACTAGTGAAAGGCATATGGTATGTTCAACTAAAAAAAAAAAGCCCCAAAGACTCCCAAAATCTCTCTTTCTTTTTGGGTTATAACTGAGAGATTTTCACAGTACTAAAATCCACATATCAACTGGCTATTGGAATTGCTTGTGCATTTAATGAGTAAAACTAAAATTGTTAGAATTGCCAGGTTGTGCATCATACTGGAGGTGTTTATAGCAAGAGGTGTGTGAGCCTCTCCATCAACTTAGCAGCCAGAGAAATATATGAAACCACTGAGGTTTCATAAACAAAATGCAGATGAAGTAAATGGAGAAAACATACAGGCTTTGAAGATATTGAAAACAAAAGCTGTGAAATTAAACAGCAGTTACACAATCTGCCCTCTTTAAAATAAATTTATTTTAAGGTTAATATTAACATTAAACACTTTAAATTTCACGTATTTAAATTTAATTGGAAATATTCTTCTATTTTTTATTCTATATTGTAATGAGAAGAATTTGGGGTGAGTGGGTGAAATGAGGAAGTGTGTGTATTTAAACTGAAAGAACCTATTGCAATGATTTCCTTAGTATATTGGTTTTGTTAATATTTGGAATTTGCAAGACAAACTTTGTTTTCCTAAGTAGGTTTTAGTGTATTGTTCTGTGTGTTACTGTGTGTTTAAAGTTAAATTAGACACTTTATAATTTGGGGCTTGCAGATCTCAACATAAAAGCTCTACTAGGAAACTGCTGTGCTGTAAAGTGAGGTGGTGTAGGGCTCTGGATATGAAGGGATTGTTTGTTTTAATGGTAGAGATCATTGGTAGGATGATGCTTCATTTCCCGTACGTACTTGTGTACATTTGTGTTGTGGAATTCTGGAGTTAAGTATCCAATCTGTGCTTTGGTAAAACAAGTGTTTTGTGGATAAGGAATGGGGAAGCAAGAATAATAATACTGTAAAAAAACCCAACCAAGGATCTTTCTTCTATTTTGAGAATTCCCACAGAATCTATGGTCTGTGCAGTTTAATTGAGCACAAATTAAAAAAAATGCCCCTGATAGTTCTTCATCCTGGCAGGCTTCCATGGTCCTGTGATTGCAGCCAGTTTGAAAAGAGGGATCTGTTGTGTGGTGATGGTGACTGCTGGAGATGGCGGGAGCTTGGGGTGCGGGTACTCACCATGACCTGTGGCATCTCCCCAGCCTTGGCAAGAGAAGGAAATGGCAGCTCTGGGTCAGGTCCTCTGGCAGGAGAATGTCATCCACCATCTGTCCAAAATTGGGTTGCTGCAACAGCCTGGTTCTGCTGGATCGTCTGCGGAGGAAATTGGAACAAATTGTAAGTAAGTCGTACTGCTTTGAACGAATGAACTGGGGGGGAGAGGTGGGTTCAGTGCCTTCTCAGTAGCAGATAGTTAACTTTTTTTGCTTTTTTTTTTTTAAGCTCTAGATCTGGGAGTCTATAAGGAGCCTAAACCTACACCTGAGTATTGCCAGAGCTGGAGCAGGTTACAGCTGCACCCCTGACCTCATCTCTCCTGTTCATTTTCCTCACCAGGTGCTGTGGTTCCTCAGGTCCCTCTGGGGCTGCTCATCCCTTGGCAGGGGGTGATGGTGTCAGGCAAGAGGGGAGCTGGGGCTGGGCTCTGCTTGTTGAAAAGACCCTAAATTTGCCAAAACCAGTGGCGATGCTGCTGTGCCCTGCTCTGTCAATGTACACGTGCCGTCTTTGTCACCTCTGTGCCACCTCCCATCCAGGTTTTTCTCTCAGGGGCAGAGGGAATGCAGCTGCCCTCAGCCCCACCGCGCCGGGCAGGTCCCCCTCAGGGCCACCCCGC